ATACCTAGAGCAATCCTACGATAGGCATGGACATGTCCTTTCTTTGGCAACAGATCTCATTTCTCTTTCCTACCACCTCCCATCCCTCTGGAGAGAAAATACCTTTCTCCCTGACCTCCCGCCCATGCACCTCTATCTTCTCTTCCCTTCACCATCAAGGCCACACTCTTCAGCCTCCAGCCCTCTCAAGGACCCAGCAAGAACACACCAAGGCACTCAGATGGCAAACAAAAGCTCTGCTACATCACAACACGTTCCACCACCCTCTCTCACACAACCTGAAGACAGAGCTACTGAGACATCTGTGCAAACAGGCTGGAAAGAACCAACACACCCAGGGGAGTTTCTCATTCAGGAACTCAAACCCATCACAGCCCAGCACCACAATCCTCCACAAAGACTCAAAAAGCACTGGGCAAAACTGCTCCTCAGGGCTCTTCATGTACCTCCATCCTTCCTGACTCACTCTCCACCTGCAGGGAGTCCCTGTCTTCTTCTTCAGGCAGGCACTCCCTGCCACAACAACACACAAGAACCTCAGTATCTATGAGCATTAATGCCCATGAAATCCCTCACTCATCAGCACGATCCACCTGTCACACGGTCAAACAAAAGCCATGAAGGAAACACCACAGCACTGTCACTAAGAACATCCCCTTGACCCCCAACACATCTCTTTGGGGAAAGGGATTTTGGTCCCTCCTCCAGCCCTGCTGCCTCTCACCCACTCAGGCTGGGCCTGGAACCAGCACAAAAGGTACCAGAGCAGGAAATGATGCTTTGTTGGTCCCATAGGATCAACACTGTGTTGATTCAACATAAAGATGCCACAACTGAACAGGAGCTAATGCACACCAGTCTCTCAAACACACCCACTTTAGGTGTGTGACTTACCTGTAGCTTTACTGGTTCCTTCTTCAGAAAACAAACATCTTCGGAGGAGGGAAAGAGATTTCAAAGGATATTTGCCCTTAACATTATCAGTTTCTGGGGAAGCTGGACAAAAGCAGTCACTTATGTTCCACACAAACTGGACAGTGCCCTTATGTATTTTTCTCACAGGGTAAGGAGGAAGCAGAGCTGTAAACTATGGTCATTCTCTCAAAGTCAAACTTAGCTCAGGACACACAACAGAACACACATCCCCCACACCGATGGGAAATGGCCCAAATGTCTGACACACTGTCACTGAGAGAGAGGAAATCAACCAACCAACCAACCAAAACACCAAAACAAACTCAAAACTTTGGCAGTTTGACGGAGGAGAGAAGAAAAACAAAAGGTCCCGTTCAGCTGTATTGAAACAGATTTTTTTGGCAAAATCTTGAATACCAAGACCAATCCTTCCCCTGTCTATCAAGATTAAGTGCAGAGAGGTAATCATGGAAGGCTCGACAGCATGATCCAAATTTCAAAAAGCTTCTGTTTGACCAACAACATTCCACATCAAAACCAAGAAAGTAAGACACACACTGCAGATGTCTTCACAAGCAGCAACACCAGAAACAACAACTGTGCCCTGAGATACTCAGAACATCTGGAGGTCCTGACAGGATCCCAGGAGAGCAGCACTGTGTGCTGGGACCCTTCCTGAGGTATTCCATTATAATCTTCCATCTTGCACCTGCGAACTGGGATCTCCACAGCTAAGCAGACATTCTCCTTTTCATCCCCAATGACCTTTCCACAGCCTCACCTTCACTCATGACTGGCACAAAGAATACATGGAATGCTGCAAATCCACTCTGGGACTCTCTGACTCTTCCCACATGCCAGGATGCTTTCTGCCTTTGCAGCAATGTCAAATACAATTCGAGTGATTAAAAGTTCTGTTATTAGACCTGTGAACAACTATGACCAATGTCCCCACAGATTGTCTTCCTCAAGAAGACCCAACCAAAAGCAGTAGTACAAAGTGTCAACAGGGTAGAATATTTTCTACCACAGAAATTTCTACAAAGCTGGGCTGCTCTGTAGGTGTGGAGGTTTGGTGTGTACATCCAGACACCAGAATGAGCTGTCTGTGGTAACAGGACACACCAGCTCTGCCCAGACTGACTGGCCAAGAGCACAAGTAGGGGAAGAACAGAGCACAGACATGACACCCACCTCCTCAACTGCCCTTAAATATCCTGTCTGAAGGGGAGCACAGATCCACCATGGCAACAGCTGGGGAAGCTGTTACACATGCCCTACAATTCCCACACACAGCAGGCTGAAGTGCTTCCCTCCCACAACAACATCCCCAAAACGGTGCAAAAATGTTCATCAGTTTGCATGTTCCCAACTCTTATCCAACACATTCCCTATGCCAGGCTGCAGCAGCACAAGGAACTGTCTCTGACAGGAAATATTCATAACTTCCTAGGACTTTATAGCCATTTCAATACCACATACATTTTCAAGATCCAGAAGGCCTCCAACTCCACACCCTTGGAGACTGGGAAAAGATCCTGGGCAAAAACACTTTATGCCCATCCTGCTTCCCACTTTCCTCTAGACATCCTCTGTTTCTCGCCCTGCAACATTTATCCTCTAGAAAAGACCATCATCTCCCAGTCCTGTCTTCTTATGACAGGGACCATGGTCTTCCCAAGGATTTCCAGTTCCCTCGTGTACACAAGTCTTCCCACTGCTCAAGGGCACCTTTCACATCAGCACATGCACAGGCCCTACTCACTGTCACTGCCACATTCACCTCTGGCACAAGTCACAATCTCCCACCTCAGGCCTCAACTTTTGCTTACCCTCCCCAGCAACTAAAACACTGTAAAACCCACAGAAATGGCATCCCATGCCCGGTGTCCATCAGACTCTCTGCAGCTGATCCTTCGGGTCAGCAGTTTCAGAGGGAAATGTCACACACCTGTGAGTAACACTGGCTGCAGAGCTCTGCTCGGGACAGCTCTCATGGCCATGGGCACTGATGTCATAATAATAGAGACAGAACAACCCAGATGCTGAGGAGCACAGCAATGCAGTCCATTCCATCCCCTGGGGAGGAGAAATTGTCTGAGGGATTGTTGTGTTCTTGCGGAAAACAGAACTTCCGTGGAAGCTATAAGGGTGCTGCTAATGTAAATATTGATAAAAATATCAAAACAGGTGAGTGTACACCAAGCCTGCTGTCCAGCCACAAACGCAGTTTCAAAACTACACCTAACAAAAACGGGGGGGGGGGAAAAAAACAGCCACCAAATCAACCACGAAGACACCAAACAAACTAAAACCCCAGGAAATCTCCAGAACCCCTTCCCAGTTTTCAAAATGACACTACTGGACCAACCAAAATGGAGAAATTACGCCATGGAAATTGAAAATGTGTTAAACCACAAGTCTAAACTGTCACCTTACCTCACATGTCATGTAAAGGAAAATGTCAGAAGATGAGGACAGAAAAAAACCCACACGTGATACCACCACGGTCAGCAGTCAGCAAAGGCAATAAGGAATAAGGCAGGACATAGGGCCTGGGGACTGACACCACCACAGCCTGTCCTGCACACCAAGCTCGGGTGCAAATGCTACACATCAGCAAGCTTTGTCTCCAAAACTCAAACGGCGAGGCAACACAGGTCAACTCTCATCACGATCAGCAGCGATTTCATTCCATGGAAGAACAAATCATATCCATAGCAGCAAATCTCTGCTGCGAACCTCAAGGAGTTACCGCGATACCTTTACCGGATACAGATGAAAAGGTACAATCAACATATTTAAGCACCTGTAAAGCAACCAACCCCACAGGCCACGGGCTCGGAGCCCGGAGACCGACAAGGCTGGCCAAGGGGGGCGGGAGAGAAGGGGCAGAGGAAGGAGGGAATAAGTAGACGAGAGCAAGGGATTGTCACTGACCGTGTCGAGGAGAGAGGGAGGCTCCGGCTGCGTGTCCTTGGCCGCGGCGCCGGGCGGCGGCGGGAAGTTGGGGCTGAAAACCATCAGGTCGCTCTTGGCCGCGCCGTCCGCCACGCACAGGCTCCGGCTGTGGCGCTGCGAGTACGACCAGCTGCCCACTTCGCTGGCGCACACCAGCGTCGTGGGCCCGGGCCCGCGACAGCACGGCCGCCCGCGGCGCCCAGCGCGACGCCCCGTACAGCACCACGGCCAGCAGGAACAGGCTCGACACGCCGCAGATCGCCACCACCAGCCACACGTTCGTTCGCCGCCGACGCCGACGCCGGCCCAGAGCGCGCTCTCGCCGCCCCCGACAACGAAGCGCGCAGCACGACGACGAGCCCGCCGCCGCGCCAGCCCGCCTCGCGCGCCTCCACCAGCGACACGTTCATGCGTCGCCTGCCGAGCGCGCCGGCTCGCCGTGGTCCCGCACCACGATCACCAGCCTCTGCCGCGGCCCGTCCGCCTCCTCCAGCGCCCGCGCCGTGCTCACCTCGCCGCTGTACAGCCCCACGCGGAACAAGGCGCTCTTGCCCCGCGGCTCCCACAGCTCGTAGCGCAGCCACGCGTTGTAGCCCGAGTCCGCGTCCACCGCCCGGATCTTCGCCACCACCTGACCCGACGGCGAACCCCACGACGCCCACGCCCACAGCGTCCCCGCCTCCCCCGACACCGACCCGGCCTCCGCCCCGCCGCCCGACGCCGACAGCAGCGCCGGCGCGTTGTCGTTCTCGTCCACCACGAACACCTGCACCGTCGCGTTGCCGCACAGCGACGGCTCCCCCGCGTCCACCGCACGCACCTCGAACTGCAGCACCTGCACCTCCTCGTAGTCCAGCGCCCGCAGCGCCCGCAACACACCGCTCTCCGCCTCCACCGACACGTAGCTCGACGCCGCAACACCCCCCACCGACCCCGACACCCCCGACCCCCACGACCCCGACCCCCCGCCCAACGCGCCCTCCCACAACGAGTAGCTCACGCGCCCGTTGCCCGCCTCGTCCGGGTCCCGCGCCCACAGCCGCGCCAGCTCCGCGCCCGCCAAGTTGTTCTCCCGCGCCAGCACCGTGTACACCGCCTGCGCGAACGACGGCGCGTTGTCGTTCACGTCCGACACCGGCACACGCAGCCCAACGCGGCCGCCCAGCGACGGAGAACCGCCGTCCTCCGCACGCACCTCCACCTCGTACTCCGACACCCGCTCCCGGTCCAGCCACTCCCGCAGCACCAGCGAGTACGACCCCGACAACGTCGCCTCCAGAACGAACGGACCCGACGGCCACACCCAGCACCGCACACGACCGTTCGACCCCGAGTCCCGGTCCCGCACGCTCAGCAGGGCCACCACCGTCCCCAGCGACGCGTCCTCGGGCACCGGCACCGACAGCGACGTCACCCGCACCTCCGGCGCGTTGTCGTTCACGTCCAGCACCTCCACCACCACCTTGCAGTGACCCGACAGTGGGGGTGTCCCTTTGTCTTTCGCTTTAATGTTTAGGTCATATGTCGTAACAGTCTCAAAGTCGAGGGCTCCCGTCAGTCTGATCTCGCCACTATTTGTATCAATGATGAAAACATCTGAGGCAGAGGAAGGAAAAACAGTATCAATTTCGTAAGTCACTTCTCCATATATTCCCAAATCCGGATCCGTGGCGTTCACCCGCGTCACCAATATTCCCACTAAGGCGTCCTCGGGCAAAACTACGTTATACACCGACTGGTTGAACTGCGGCGGGTTGTCATTTACATCAAGCACTGAGATCTCCAGTTCCATCGTCCCTGTCAGAGACGGCCGGCCCCCGTCACTCGCCGTC